ATGGTTTATTTTTAGAATATAGCATGGGAATTGTAAATATCCAAGGTCAGTAAGGGTACAGGAGTTCACTTCAAGTTGTGTGTGTTGTTTTTGTTTTAAGTAAGCCTTTGCTACTCACAATATTATGTGTAAATATTCACCTATTTTCACCAAATTCCAGGCTCATTTTATATCTGCCTGGCATTATTTTGTGCTTCCTTGCCTTTCATTCCAGAACGGGAGCCCCTGTGTGAGAGGATCAAACAAGGAGCCCTTTTATCTCGCGCATTGCATTCATTATTCATTGTGCATTGTCAGTGGATTGTTACTTGGGGCTTGAATTAAGATAATTAATCGTAGGAAAGCACTTGTAATTTCACACTTAGTGAAACACCCTTGCCTCAGTATAGCAGGACTGTAGTGGCAAAATACCTTAATTCTGATTTTTTTTTCTGTTTGCCATTCAGTATCATAATTCTCAATATTTATGTTCTGTAGCTCTTTATTTTGCTTATTTGTATGCAGGTTTATCTTGCAACAGTCGTGTTCGTATTTTGCTGTTGAAATACTTTTTGTTAAGCTACTTTTATAGAGAATTTCAAACAAATACTTTTGTTTTATGGGTTGAATTGCCATTTAAATGGTGAGATTAAAAAGCCCTTTATCCCTGTAATATCAAAGAGGAAGTCTTGGAAAAGTGCTGGGCTTAAGAGCATGAGGAATCAAGTCGACTCCCAACTTTGCTTGTTTTGAAAATGGTAGTTTGAAGTTAACACCGCTGCGTTCATTTGGCTTCGGAAGTTGTGTTAAATTGGTAGGAAGCCCCAAGTTGCATTGGGAAACAAGCACTGTGAGGATATTTTTGGAGATGTACCAATGTTTGCTTATCCTTCTCATCCTCCTTGGTATTTGCTATTGATTCCAGAGGGAGGCAGGATACTAAACTAGATAGACATTTTGTTTCACCTGCTTGACTGTTTCTGCATCCCTCTCTGGAAACAGGAAACACACTTGGGGGGTGTGTGTGTGTGTGTGTATATATATTTTTATTGCATGCCTGGGGAAAAAAAAAAGATTTTTTGTGAGGACCTTTTAAAGGTCCTTTTGAGTCTCTGTAGCTCTATTTGGATGATTGTTTTAGCAATTTTGCAGTACAAGCCAAGTAGAGTATGTCTTTGTGCCAACAAAGACATTTTTATTATATTCTGTGAAAGCTGACACACAAATGTTTACCATCACTTCTGCTTGTTTTTGTTTTCCACAGCAAATGTAATTAATCTGTAGAAAAGTTAATCTTAGCATAGCCCTCAGATATTGGGGAAGCAATTACTATTTTTTTTTTTTTTAAAGCCGTGGTGCTGCACTGTGCAGTTCGTGTGCGCTAGAGAAGCACCTCTCCCCCGCCAGCCTGAATTACCCTCTGATCCTGACTATGCTCCTTGCAAGTGGAGCCGCAAACTAGAATTAATTGTTAGTCTGATTAATGTCCTCGGAGCCTGATCCAAGAGCAGCCGTTGCTGTTACTGGCCAAATACAGAGATGCAGATATTGGTAGCCCCTTCCTGCAGCTGCTCCCAGCCCTTGGTTACCCCCGATTTTCTCGTTCCTGCCCCGCTTGCCCATCCCGTGCGCTGGTGGGGAGATGCTCGGCATCCCCATCCCGAGCTCTTCCCGGCAGGAAAGCCGTGGTCGTGGGAGCTGCTTCCCCCGGGCTGCTGGGCTTGCAGGGCTTTCCAGTGCCGCGAAGGTTCCTGCCGCGGGATGTGCGGGAGCTGTCGGCCCCTGGCGTGGCTGCTGTGGCTTCCCCAAGGCAGGAGCGAGCGGAGCTCTCCCCTTGGCTTCCCCGTCACCTGAAACGGGAGGGAGCCTTTTGGCAGAGCGGCCGCGCTGCTGATGTGGGACTGGAAACACCGAGATGACGTGATGTCCGTGTGTCTGCGGAAAGTCTGCATTTCTGGGAGGTATTTACATTCTTTCCAGGTCAGGTTTTGGTCAAAATCTAGCTGAGAAACTGGAAAATTGTATACCTTGGATCTTCAGAGACAGCGTCTTACTTAGTGTTTGTAAGCACCAAAAGACTTTTTCTGTGTTGCATTATTTTATTCAAACATTGTTTGAAATGTTCAGTTTGGCCGAGTCAGTAACAGGTTTGTGACGCTGTTGTATGAAGAAAAGCAAAAATCTAGGAGTCATGTTTATAAAGCTTAAGCCTGGCCTTTCCTGAGACCAGCCGAAGGCTTGGCCTGACGGAGCCTCTGGGACTCCTTAATAACAAGCGTGAAGAACCGAGCGCTGGTGCTTGGCACCCTCACACAAAATGGTGCCTCTTTCTTCCCCACAGCCCCTTGATGCCCCTAGATCTTTCTCAGTCCCAATTACAGGGTCTTCTCAAAGGAACAGGGGAAAAAATAAAAAGAAGTATCAATTTCTGTCCTTAATTGGAGGCAGGGCATGTTTAAAAATTTGATACCACGTTGGCTTGTTAGGTGTGCTGGCAAGTGCTCCCAACCCAGATGCAGTGTAAGAGGCTGCAGCTCCTGGCAATCAGGAGGGTTTTGTGGCTGTTCCTGTGCCCCTGTGCAGCTGGGGCCCAGGACAGGCGCTTTGTCCATTCTGGGGACTGTGATTCAAGGGGCTTCGTAAAATCATGCGTGTGAATTGCACAAGTCAAACGGACTTCTTGTTATTTCTTGCAGAGTGCTTGTGTTTTCTTCTTTCTTTGCTGCCTCTTCTTTCTTTGTCATCATCTTTTCTATAGAGGGTCATGTCCAGTGGGCCCTCACAGGTTTTTTGAGAGGTCCTGAACTGTGGAAAAGGAAAAGATTTACAGGAATTAACTTTTTGGAGGAGGCAAGGATGAGTGAGATGTAGTGCCATTTTGAGCAATTGGGAGGCTGGGGGGAAAAAAAAAAAAGACCAGAAATGTCTTGAGCATAAGAAGCTGCATGAGTCAAGGCAACAGGTTAGAAATATGGGCTCAGGTAAACAGGGTGTGGAACCCAAATTGCTTCTTGTCTCACTAAAGAGAAAGAAATGGGTAAGTGAGGGAATTGGGGATGACAAGGAAGTATTCATTCTGAGGGAGTGCAAAAATATAGTTAGTAGAAAAGGAAGACAGCAGCAATAGAGTGAGAAAGAAGGGTCTGCTCAGAAATAAAACAACTTCACCTGCGATAGAGATGTGGCAGGAAAAGGAGAAAGAGCTTTGGCATTTGGGCTGGAGCTAACCTGAGGAGTGGTGAGGAGGCTTGTGCCGTGTGTGTGAACATGGAGTTACCTCCTTGGGAAGCTGGTGCTGGTTTCCTGTGACGGAGCTGGTGCAGCGAGCCGGTGCTTGAAGGCCTGTAGTGTTTACAAACACAGGAACATCGGGAATTCTTTTTTATTGCAACATTGTGTTTTTTCCAGGAAGTGCATAACTCAAACTTCTTTGTAGATGCTATGAAATAATAATGGCAATTACTCAGTTTGCTATTATCACTTAATAAAAAAACTTGTATTTCTTGTGTACAGATATTTGATTTAATGGATGCCAAAGCCCGTGCTGACTGCATCAAAGAAATAGATCTTCTTAAGGTAAAGTTCAAAGTTGTTCATAAAATGTGCAGCCTTCATCAAAAACTGATTTTTTTGCTCATAAACATATTTGAAGAACTGTCCAGTATTGTCTAGAGCTTTTGTTAGCTTCACAAAAGGTATTTTGCAAGTCTTAATTCCTTCAAGAATTAATGCTGAGAAGTATTGAGAAATTTGTAACTTGTCAAGTAGAAGTTCTTCTAAATACAGTGTTGTAGGGTAACTGAACATATGCTGTTTAAAGTAAAACAGTGATTTTTAAAAACTGACTTCACTGTTTCGGCTAACCAAAATATGTTGTATAATGACAGAAGTTGCACGTGAACATAATAATTCTATCTCACAGAACTATTGAAACAAAAATCCTATAAGACTAATTTCTGATCACCACGTTGATACTGAAATACCATCTTGTTCTGGCAGTTTTAACATGCTTATCTGTAAAAGATTCTCATAAGCACAGCTTATACTGTGGTAGATTTTTAGGGGATTCTTTTTTGTCTAAACAAGAATTTTTCATTGCTCAGTTGTAAAAGACAAAGACAAGGTATACATTAAAATCTGCTTTATTCTTCTGCCCTCTCAGCAACTGAACCATCCAAATGTAATTAAATATTATGCCTCATTCATTGAAGACAATGAACTGAACATAGTGTTGGAATTGGCTGATGCTGGAGATCTCTCTAGAATGATAAAGGTAGGAAATACTGTTTTTAATATTAAGAGTTTATAATCGCTTGTTTGAATGGCTTTTTATTCTCTTGCCCATAACTGGGTTGAATGAAATCAAAATGGCAGGATTTGTAAAGGACAGTGCTTGCATCCAGATTTTTTTGTACGCCCGATGTTGATGCATTATATAAATATTTTCTAATGGCATCGCCCAGATTGCGAGTGCAGGTGGGAGCACAGTCACATTCACTTTGTTAGCATTGGGCAGGACAGAGGCAGCAGCAGCTGTACAGAAGGGCACTGTTACCTCCTTTCGAATGGGCTCGTTTTGACTGCTTTCCTGGTCTCGGCACAGCTGCCTTTTGTGTTATTCTGTTCCCTCTGTTAGCACTGAAAACAGAAAGCTGGAGTCATAGGGCAGAAAAAGTATTTCTTCTATAATCTTGGGTTCAAACTGTTAACTGCTTTAGGGAACAAGACTAGTAAAATGCAGGTAACTGCATCATTTTCGAGGTTTAATCAAACACCACAATGTCTTTAGACTATCGTATTAAATCTTTTGAGAACACAGTTTTGGATTTCCCTGCAATCATGTGTTTAGGAGTTACGCATCATTAACGCATCATTTAAAAAGTGCCTTTTTATGTTCTTTAAATACTTGATCTTCAACTAGTCGGAGAAATGTATCCAAGAGTTGTTGTATAAACTTCACATTCTGGAGTTGCTGAACTTTTAACCAACATTTTACCTTTTGTGTTACGGTCTGACAAGGACTTCACCGTCTGCTCCTGCCGTTTCCCGCTGGGTCGCGGTTTCAGTGCGGCCCGTTTTATTCAGGACCTGTGTGAGCAGAGCCTGCAAATTTCTTAATTACTTCTGTGCTGGTGTGTTTCCCCCCTCTGCCCCCCCACTTTGAGCTTTTGAAGATTGATAACTGTAAGGCAGGACGGTCAGAACTTGCTTCTAAACAGATTGACAGTGCGCCGTTAATATTTATACCCAAATTTGATGTTTTCCTTCAGCTCATGAGTTATTAATTCGGTGGGCTTACATTCCATAAAACATAAAGGAAGGTTTGTCTCTTCTTCTGAGCGTTCAGCCTTGACACAACGTTATTAATAGGAGCGCTCCGTGACAGGTTGCCTCATGGCGCGCCGGGCTCCGCGCCCCGCTGCAGCCTTTTCCTGCCTTTCCCGCTTCGCCTTTGGTTTTGTTTTAATCCGGCTCGCGGCTCCTCCGGAGCTCTCGGCCTCGCTGCACCTTGCCCGAGCTGGCGGGCATTTCTTGCGGGCTCCATCTCGGAGGCAGCTCGTGGTGGTTGTCCCCTTAACACCGGGATCATGTTTAATGTAGCAAACTCGGGTTGTGTTTGATGTTAGTGACGGCCTATCGGGCTGCCATGAAATATGGATGAGGCGTCGGGATGCGCTCGGGCTCCTGCCGCTCGCGGTTTGATGGACTGCGCGGATGCTGCGAGTTTTCGTGGGGGGGTAGCGCTTGTGCGGTGCCTTTGGAAATAAATGTTTTTAAAACTGCCTGAAAAATAAATGATACGTAATGGTGTGAAAACTTCTGGCAAAATATCCGGCTGTCGCATTGCTGGGGTAAATAACTATGTTGTGCTAGGGAAGAAGAAAAATTATCCTTTGGTTTTGGGTATTTTTCCACAGGGCATCTCAGGGCATCAGTTTGTTGGAGGCAAACCCAGAGGGGCATTTGGGTATCGAGTCACTATGTAATTTGTAGGATTAAGCATATTTTGGGAATTTTTAAACGAATGTAGCTTGAATGGCCCTAAAACCAGTGTTAATGTCAAAGAAAAACTACAGTAAGGCGGTAGTTTATCTAAAACAAACCAGTTTACTGTGGTATTTCTTACAATACTAGCAGAGCTGCTGTGCCTCGAGTTCACCTTGGGGAATTTGTCGCTTCTTCCCTTAATGAAGCGAGTTCTGGATCTTCGGCTTTTGAACAGGACTTTGCTTGTCACCGTTGAGCAGACAGCTGGGGGAAATTACCTGCATTTAGACTGAAGACTGATAGTGGATTCTAGTCAGCCTTCATCAAACTTGCTATATGTAAATAAATTAAAAAAAAAAAAGTGCGTAATGAAATAATGCAAATGTGTGTTCGTATAGCAAGACTCATGTGTTTAGTTGAGTTGATTGAATAATATATAGTGATTCACCTCAAAATGTTCTCCATGGCATTGGGGCCATAAATAACAAAAAACCCTACTAATTGCATTAATCAAGAAGATATATTCGGATGATTCAATTTAAAAAAAAAGAAAAATAATGTGTACTGGATATGTTGAAACAATACCATTTGAGCTATTTTGCAGAGCAGTTAAGGTGCTAAATTAAGAAAGTTATTAGTAAGGCTTGTAAGAAGGAATCTTACCAAGATTTTAGGTACAAATGCAATAAACTTCTAGATCTGTTTCATTTCTATAGTTATTTTTAGTTTTTTTTTTTTCTGGCAAATTAGCACAGAAAAAAACTTTCAACTGAATATGTCACATAAGATCTTAAGTTAAAATCATGTTTTGGGAACAAGCATGAAGGCTTTCATCTACAAAGCAGAAAATATGTTAGTGCCTCTCTCAAGATAGATGAAAAGTGATTTGAACTCCCCAAAATATCACCTAGGTACTTAACTCTCTCTTCAGAGAATACTTGTGTGTTTTTTTTCCAACAGGGACAAGCTGGGAGCAGGCTGGTTTTTGTCCTTAACCACAGGCACCTATTGCACAATTAAAATGTAGTTGCCTCCTTCCAAGCGGCTGATCTGTGGCCGAATTACTGGTTGCAACAGCAAGGAGCCACCTTTTTTTTTTCAGTCCTGTTTAAAATCCCGCTGTTCTTCATTGTGACATCTGGCCCTCAGTGGATATTTTGGGCCTCAACTTGTGAAATCGAGTCAGGCAAGTCCTCCTCTCCGCATGGCCTGGGGTGCAGAGCTCCTTCCTTTCCCATGGAAAAATGTGTTTTCAGTTTGTCAGGATAGAACCGTTTCTTATTAAAGTGTTCCATGCCAGCTGCTTGCTTCAAGATACATATTTTGGAGCATGCCATATGGTTTAGTGCCCAGGTAAGGAGGAGCAGACTCTGCTGGAGCAAGCCAAGCTTGGGTGTGTGGTTTCTTTTTAAACCGAGCGGGTGTTGTGTGGGAAATGCTCTAAGCCCCTGGTGCCTTGAAACTGGGGAAAGAGGAATTTCGTTAGTGTGGCCATGGAAAATAGCCCCAGTGTGTGAACTCTTGTGCTGCAAGAGTTCACAAGTGCCTGGCACGAGTTGAAGCAAAGCAGCTGAACCGATGAATTTCCATCCAGGAATGGAGGAGGAATGTTTCAGCCCACCGTGCAGGGAACTAAAGCTGTTCGTGCTGAAGTTGCTTTTCCCTGGTGCTTTGGAGGGCCGAGCAGCACTGCTGCGAGCAGGAGCGTTGCTCTCCTGCCTTGACGTGGTGATTCGAGCAGCGCAGACAAAGAAGTGATCTGGGGTGATCTGGAGAAGAGAAAGACTAGGTAAGGAAGAGAGTAGCTTGTGCCAAGCAGGCAAATAGTGGTGAAGGAAGAGAGGATCCATATGGGAACGGGGAGGCTGCCCGCAAAGAGAGGAGCCGCTTTGGCCAGAGCTGGGGCTGGGAGGCGGCTCTGCGGGGCTGGGGGGACTGAGGGGCTGCGGAGCGGGGCCCTGGCAGGGCCTGCAGCCACCGGCAGTGTCGCTTCCCGGGGTACGCGCGAGTGTGGAGCCAGGCCGGATCATCGCTCCATCCCAGCTCATTGCTCCCGTTCTCATCTGCGCAACGGGCTAATGCGCCTGTCTTAGAGGTGAAGCTGTATGTGCTTCATTCTAAAAGGGTTTGTGCTGATGGACTTCACAGAGTTCGTTTTGGTAATGTGATATTGCAGTGATGGACATCAGGAGCGCCCTACACACAGTCCCTGCAGAAATGTAGTTATAATAGCAGATTTTGAATTGAATACAACAAACAAGTCCTAGAAACCTTTTCCAATACTTGATTGGTATAATTGCTTGCTAGTGGAGTGTGATGGATGAATGCGGAAAGGGAGTTAAAAACTCTGAAGGGGGGAAAAATTAAGGTGGCTTTAATTCTTTAATTCTGAGATTTTATTTATAGGCTTGGCACTGGCATATGAATGCTTGGCATTGTGGTTTTGGCAAAAGTGTTTGTCCATCATAATAAAATGTTAGTAACCAGTATGCGAACGTGTTTTTGTTTTCATGACCTTTATCAAGGTCATTAATAGAGGAAGATTGCTTAAAAATAAATATATGGAGTCACCAGGAAGTGAACTTGTAATCAGCTGTAAAGGATATTTGGGGGTGTAAAGGTAGTTACAACAATATCTATATATTTTTCAGTGTTTTTGTACACTTACAAGCAAGTCAGTTTATCATTGGCCAAGTGCTAGCTGCTGCACGTCCAGCTGAGACGGCATTTTTCTTTCCTTAGTATTTGATGTGTTGTTTCACCTGAGCGTGGCTGCTGCTCCTGACACGAGATGCTCGTGTTGCTGGGCTGAATGAAGCAAGGTGTGGGAGGAAGAACAAAAAATGAAGCTATGCAGAAAACAAGGAGAAAGGGCAGAAAACTCAGCACAGCCTAAGGAGGTGGGCAGCTGGATCGGGGAGAGATCAGAGGCAGGCAAGCTCCTGGGATGCTGCTTTCCTGGTGGAATTGCATAACCTCTTAAAGCAGGAAGGAAGGCTCGTGTCGGAGCTCTGTTTCTGTGCGCACGAGGTCTGTGTGTGACCTCAGGTGGGCGGTGGGACCCGTCTGCCCTGCTGTATCCCTGTGGCCCTGCCTCTCCTGCGGGTCCCCTGCTTTTGTGGTTGGGCTGTTAAAACTGGCCGGGGCTTCTGCAGCTTCTTCTTGCCCGACCTGCTTGTCCTCTTGGTGCTGAGGAATCCGTTTTTTTCCTTAGCAGAACTTGCTAAGAGCGTCATTTTACCCATCATGCAGGTAACAGCCCTTAGAATCCGCATCCTTTTCCTCTTCACATTCCAATTTCTTGCCACAGGTATTGTGTTGGTAGTTCATGGTGCTCTCCTAAGTCTATTTAATAAAATTATTTGAAAAAAAACTTCGGTGGACAGAGTGCAGCCATGAGGCACAGAGCCTTTGGTTGCTCTCAGGATTCTCCTCAAAATGTGCAGGAAGGAAAATGCTTAGTGGCATTTATTTAAAGCAAGGGAATGGTCCTCCTTGCTCATCTCCCATTTACTTTTCCAAACGGCCTTTTCAGAGGGTAGCTCTAGCCTAAAAAATGCACAGCAATAAATTCAGGTGGTCAAAGTGCTTCTTGTGGGCTCATTCAACAGTCAATTTAGGACTGTATGTGTAGTTTAGGTTATCAGTTTATTGCCTTTTTGCGGGGTATTTCCATAAGCTTCTGTGCTGACGATATTGAGGACCTCTCCTGTAAGAAGCAAGGTGGGGAGGATATTGGCTTTCTCCACGTGGTGAGGAAGACTTTTATCCTGGGTTCCCCAGCTCCTCTGGGAGCTCCTATAGCCTGTGGTGCCTGTTATGGTGCTGCACGTTATTTCCCTTAGAGGTACTGAAAAATATTTATGAATTTGAGAGTGATTTCATTTCCTGTAGGGCATTGTACAGTGTGTTATGCTGAAGTCTGGGTAGATTGGTCTGGATGTGTTCTCCTTTATTCGAATCCATTGCTTAATTTGGTGATCCAAGTTAGATACCAGGTGAGGCTGGTTTGCTTCTCCAGTGTTTGTCCAATGCACTTTGTCTTCCTTCTTTTTATTTTATTTGCCAAATATTTATTTGCTGTTTATTTGCCAAACTGTCCTCGTAAAGCCTGGATAAGATGATTTGCTACTTGCTGTCACTTTCGCCTTCAGCGTCTGATCTTTAAAGCAGCATCTGAAGACACTCAGTATAACTTCATGCTTTAATAGAGATGCTAATTTTTTCTTTCATTCATCTCTTTCACATATTTTTTTCCATCTCCAAGAACCTGAATGGCATATGGTGTTTATGTGCAAGGCAACTAGATTCAGCTCGACTAGGGCAGAAACATTTGCAGGCTACTTTTAGCCATTCGTTAGGGCAAACCAGAAGAGTTCTGCCTTCCCGTCAGGAAGCTGCTTGGTTGCTGGTTCCTGTACAACCTGCCGCCTTTAGAGCTCGCCAGGGCATTCGAATGGCTGACTTATGACCAGAAGGAAAAATCTGATTTATATGCAAAGCATGAATTTCAGTTTTAACTGTGCTGACCTTCTGAAAACTCTCCAAATAGTTTTATATGATTCCTTTCTGTTTACACATGCAGATGGGAATTTCATGGAATGTGAGTCTTCACTTATCAAGGGCTTTTCATTAGAAACCTGCACCTTGTTTGGGGGCCTAATTCTGTACAAACTCAGTCTTTTTAATAGCTGATTCTTTTCATTGCTGTTGTCTTTGCTGGTGGACAGCAGCCTAGGAAAAGATGGAGAATATCTATTTTTAAAAGAGGCAGTGAAATTAATACCTGTATAAAACAGTATTCATTGAGTTTGTTTGGAAGTATTGGGCCTCATTCTTTGTTAAGTTTAAATGTTGTTAGCAAATCTAATGGCTGTCTTTCTATTTTGACAAATAAATATTCAAAATCTGTAGGGTTAATAACTTTTCTTGCTGAAAGAATCAAGAATATTCATTTGTTACCATCACACACAATTTAAATGCCTCGAGTAGAATGAAAGGGCATCTTCAGTACTGTTGGGTGACAAACACTGCAAGAACCAAAGCAGATTTTGTCATCTGCTCTGATGTTATAGATAGAAAAATGAATAAAATGCTAAAAAAGTTTTTATACTTAAAACCCATGTTGTACTTTTAAAGAATGTAATTGAAAATCATTGTTTTAGCCATTTTGTGAACAGTATTTCATCATTGCTTGTACTTCAATTTGATTTTTCTTTTTTTTTTTTTTAAAAAAAAAGGCCGTTAGAATGTTTAGCTCAAGTGCCTGGTTACAATTATGATAATTTCAGAATGCATTTTAAATGGAGGAGCGGTGCTTTCATGTACACACACTTACATGTATTGTGTATTTGTTTTAAAATGAAAAGAAACCTGCTCTCCATCTTCCTGTTGACATCAAACAATCCTCTGATATGCAAATCCAGCTGTGGGGAGAGCAGATACACGGGGCTTGTTTGGATTCGGTCCAAGACTGAGGAAAAATATATTTAAATAAGTCGCTTGCATGTTTTGCCTCATTAAAATAAAAATGCATTTTGAAGTAATCCCTTTAACTGGAAACATTTTGGGTGGAATTTTATGATCCTTTGTGTAAATGATGCATTTCACTATAGCTAAGCATCTTCCTTGTGCTTCTACGCATCTCTGTCAACTTCACGAGGGCACGTTTTAGGATATTAACTGTATAAAACTTCCTTCTTTTTTTTTTCAGTGTGGTAAATGTTTGTTTTGTAAACTTAGTGTGCATAAATATATGCACTATTAAAGTAGTTCTGAGTAAACTGCTTTACATCCAATCATTGTGCTAGTACTAGTGGTGTTCCTACGTTTTCTTTGTCTGTTTCAAGTCTGTTAAAATAAGAATTCTTGCAAGAAAAGCAACTGACTTTTGAGCAACAATTTTTCTGTTTAGTCTTTAGCTGAAAATTTTGTAATGATTAAACTCGCACATTTTAGAATTGGCCGAACTCCAGGTTTTTGGTATGTATTTGTGGAGAACTGTATTATTCAAATGCTGAGTATAGTGTTTGAAGGAATTGTGTGTAGCAGAGCATAATTATGTTTCACATAAGCTTTAACAGGCCATCAAACTGTTACCCATGATGAGTAAGATCTGTTAATGTTGTTTAAACAGAATGGAAAATATTTGAACAGCAGGAGATGGATCAGTATGAAATTTTGGAAAGTAAATAATACTTTCATTCCAGTTTTAAGTATTTGACAAAGCCTATTTTTCTTGTACGATCTTTGTCTGTGAATGTGTGCAGCTGCTCTTGGTGTTTTTCTGTTTCAAAGGTGAGGATATGGAAATTATTATTGGTGCAAAGACACTTTTCCTCGAGGACGCTCCAGTAGCCATATTTAATACCTGGGTTATCTGTTTCTTTTTCTGGGCCTTTTATGCATATTTTAAGTTTTTGTGCTTTTCTTTTTTTTCCTTTAAGCATTTTAAGAAGCAGAAGAGGTTGATACCCGAGAGGACAGTGTGGAAGTACTTTGTTCAGCTTTGCAGTGCCTTGGAGCACATGCACTCCCGCCGGGTCATGCATCGAGGTAACGCGTGCGGTGCAGATCGCTCTACTTTAATGACCTTTTTCCTCTATGAGAATTAAGCTGGTTCGGTGCAGATGGCACCAAATAATCATCATGGGATCAGTTTTGCCAACCCCTAACACAGGGTTTCTGTGGCACCCTGCGAGTAGCAGGGGAGGGTGACAGAAGTTTGTGCCTGTGGATGTGCTCTGCCTTGTGCACGTTTTATGCACTTGCTTGCAAAATAAGGGATGGTTTTACAAGTGATGGAATCTCTGCTGCTGCCTCTCTGCAGTTCATTTTGCCAAAATTTGCCATTTGTCCAAAATAAAAAATTACTTCTGTCTTTTGTTTTTGTGTTATTTTTGGGAACCTGAAAACGCCAGCATTCAAAGGATTTTTAACCATGCATTTTTGCATATCTACGTCTTATGCAAACTGTAATCTCTTCTGTTCAAACTTCTATGAATCCACTTTTAAGTTCTGAGCCACAGTGTGTTGCTCTTGAGCTCAGTGAGAGCTGGGGACATTTGCCTCGTAAAAAATCAGGTCAGTTTGTTTTGAAGACGTACAGGTACCTTGTTAAAAATCATAAAATAAACCTTTAGCTTTTGTCTCTGAAGGATTGGATTAAAACTGAAATTGGATATTACTTGTGAGAAATAACTGTCTGGGGTATACATCATTATTTTGCTTTGTTTCTACTTGATTAGCCCGATTCTACTGATGAGTTCACATAGCCATTCTCCTGAGTAAAACTTACCCCTTCCTTTTTTTATTTTTCGATGCCTGATGTTGAAGAGAGTCAGTTTCCTATTTCAAGTAGCATCGTGAAAGTAAGGTTTAGGATTTAGTGTATATAAAAATGTTTTTGGTCTGCCGTTTAAAGTAATAAGAGGTTTTCTAGCTAGGGCACGAGCAATTAAGTATAGTTTATAAAGTAATAATGAAATCCCTGTGTGTGTATTTTTTTAACTCTTCGTGGCCTTTTATTTTTGCTATTCAGGTTGCTTGTGTGATGTTGATGCAGTTACAAACTTTGAACTGCAGTTTCACTCCTGCTGAGCAGCACTGTCAAGTTTCATTAATATTATCCATAATTAAAAACCTCTTTCTGTGTATTATTGATAGAGTGATAGCTTTTCTTACAATCTCACTGTGACTTTATCTTTTTTTTTCCAGATATAAAGCCAGCTAATGTGTTCATTACCGCGACAGGGGTCGTAAAGCTGGGAGACCTTGGCCTGGGACGATTTTTCAGCTCCAAAACCACAGCTGCACATTCTCTAGGTAAGTGAGTGTTAGTTGTGGGTGGGAGGGATGCAGATTTTACATGTTGGCAATATTGCACCCCTCACTTTGAAACTAAAAACAAATCAACAAAAGCAAACAGAGAGACCTCTACCTGGCAGGGTGTTTTTTTTTTCTTGAAAGTAGCCTGGTCAGCACCATGGACAAATGCAAAAAGCTGTAATGCTGAAGTGGTGTCACAAGTGGAGCTCCTTTTCCATTTGTTTGACTGGAGAAGTCTTCCATGTGGTAGCATTTTTTAGAAATTCTAGGAAAAAGTAATGTCAATACTGACTTTTTTTGGTAGCATTTAGATTTTAATTAGTGTTGGAAATAAGATGGTAGTTTCTATGCCTATGTATCATTGGTGATGTGGTTCAAAAGGGTTAAAGGAGAAACTCTTCTCCTTGTTGGAAATAAGATGGTAGTTTCTATGCTTATGTATCATTGGTGATGTGGTTCAATAGGGTTAAAGGAGAAACTTTTCTCCTTTAAAAAAGAAAAAAGAGCATCTTACAGATTAACCTTAAAATGATTGAATAATTATTAATTAGCTTGGGAAAATTGACTGTACTCTAGTGACTGTAGTTTCCCACCCCATAAGATTGGAAAGAGGAAAAGAATCACATAATTCTTTCGCAGCAATTATCCAGTATCATTGGAGTCATTCCCTACAAGTGAATTTGGGTGAAGTTTCTCTCTATAAGATAAGTAGATTGAGGAGATATCACACTTAGGTTGTATGGACTGTAAAAGTGTTTGTGTGTGTGTTACATATGAGCATGTGTGTGCATATGCACATGCATGTTCTGAAATGTCCATTTTTTTGCTACCCCATTTAAAAAAAGTCTTTTCCAAAAACATTTTCACAGAACTCATATCTTTCAGATAGTTAGGTTGGACTGCAGAGAACTGACAAGCTGTAGGATCTCGGTGGAAGTAAAAGGAAGTCCTTGTAACGAGAGCAGTATCTGCTTTAAAGGGAAATAGAAGGTTTCATGTTTACAGTAGCATGATGCAGTTTTTGGTTAGGAAAACAACCCTTTTTTCCCCCTAAAATGGCTGCTTTTAATGCTTGCTGAATCCAATCTTGGTCATTCATACCAAGGGTGTGAATTTGAGACCCCTCAAGCCCAGGACTTTAAATGATAACAGGACCGAGCTGGTAGGTAGAACTGACTTGCGTGCTGCTCAGAGACAATTTTTGAGAAAAGAGTGACCATACTGTGAGCAGTGGCTTTTAGATATATTTATATGCTTGGCAAAAGCATGTTGTGAAAAATAACCCTTCTTGTGACCTTTATTTAAAGATATTAAATAGTATTTGCAGTTCCTATCTTGGGGTCATAGGAGGGCTCACAGAGAAATACATTTGCAGATACTGATGGTCCTAGTTAGGCAGTGAAATGTTAGACTTGCTGGATAAAAATGTGCTATACTTGTGCTCACATTTTAATTAAAACTATTCAGATTGTTCCAGTTATCAGTAAACTAAAGAAGAGAGTATTGATGTTCACTGTGTTTATAGCGTTCAAGATGTGGCTGGTATCTGCAGTAACAGCCAAAATGAGGGCAGAGCAGGGCCGGGCAGGAGCAGCACCCACGGGGCTTCCACGTGGGCGCTCAGCTGCAGCCCTGAGGATGCTGCATCCACTCGGCTGCAGCGTGGGAATGAGCAAGTCCTGCAGGTCCTGGGTGCTGCTGGCAGCGCTGCCGGGTTCTCCTTTGCCCTCTTTGGGGTCCCGTTAATGAAACGGGGACGAAAGGCAGCGGTGAGGAGAGGGAGCTGCCCCTGCACTGCTTGCAGGAGCCGCTAGATCCCAGGCCAGCTTTCAGCAGGGTCCGAGTGCATGGAGAAAGCACAAGTCAGTGGTGAGGGAAGGAGAGCTGGGCTTTTCTGAGGTGCAAATCGGAAGGTTAAGATGGGGGGAAGAGCTGTTTCCACATGATGTTATCTAGGCTTGTTGCAGGGAATAGTTGCAAGGGACTGAAGGCTGACCGAGGGTTAAAGACAAACAACCAAAGCCCCAAACCACCAAAGCCATTTTCTCTGTAGCAGTTTATACTTGTTTACAGGCTTTATAAAAATTTCAGTGGCAAACTAGGTTAAGGCTTTCAGACATACAGGAATGTACTAAAATTTTCATTAGCTGCTGCTTGTAACTGCTAATTATGAGTAATACTGATTAAAATGCTTGATCCGTTTAAAACAAATGGAAATCCTTCACTGGATAGTGTTGTTAAATGGAAATCCTTCACTGGATAGGGCTGTTAAATGTTTTTAATGCGTTTCATACAGCCTTATCAAAGCAGCAGGAGTTTCCTATTACAGAATGCATACACCTTTTTAAAGATAAAAATATTTCTTACAAAAATCCAAGTGAAATGGAGGTATTTGGTATTGCTGATCTGGGCAAATTTCTTAGCTTCAGAAGACGTTATTGGGAAGGTGTGTCAAGAAGAGCATCCAAGAAAGGCTCCCTGTGACTTTGTCTGTCGTCGGCGTTATTTAATGGCTGAATGGCCTTATGCTCTTTAAAGAAATGTCAGTGCTGAAGACAGCTTATGGCACTGCTGTTAAAACACTTAGCTACACTTCATGTTTAAGAGTTTCCTTAAGGTAAAAGAAGCTGATTTTTTATGTTGGAGTTAAACTTTTTTTTTTTTTTCCAGCTTCAGTAGTCATTCTGTCTAATGACTAATGGAACTGAGTATTGTCTAATTGTAGTAATCCCCCAGAAAGAGCAAACAACTCGACTTCTCCAGTGGCCATGGTGTGAATTCCTCTTCCGCGTTCGCTTTGCTCGTGGGCCAAGGGCAGAAACACGGGGGGTTCCGTGTGAACCGCGGTGATTCACCAAGGCTCAGCACAAGAAGTGTCCCACAGCTTTTCCAAAAGAGAAACCGAGACCTGTTTTGCTAAATCACTACTGATTTTTTTAAAGTCTATTAATGTAATGGCTGACTCATCTGATGTTTATTTTGTGCAAGTGGTATTAATGTTTGCTGGGTGGACTCCTCTCCCAGTTTACAAAATGTTTCCTAGTGTTTAGTTAGCTACTGTTTCCTGAAACTCCTCTGTGCATTGCCACTTTTCACACACACTCTCTTCTTTTTCTCAGCAGCAATGTGAGTTACACGTGTATGCAGGTAATAAAAGGGAATGTTCACATCCTTACACCCTTTTCTTCATCATAGTTTTCATCATTTCTGTGACTTCTGTCTCCTCCGTACAAAACCAGAAAGCTTCCATAAAGAAACAGCATTTTCCGGCCCTCTCTAAAAGGGAGGGAGCTGCAGAGCGGCAGCAGCCCCTGGGGAAGCAGATTTGGCCATTTTCAAGATGACCGCTAAAGCTTGCAGGTTATCCAAGATGTGGAAGTGTAGGAAATAGCGTTGAAGTCACAAATGCTGCTCCTGAAAATAGAGCTACCTTAACGTGTTACATCTTTGTCTGTCCTATCGCACGCCATTGCTTTCACAGATAATTAAAGCAAGCAGCATGTCCTTATCGTACTGTGATGTGTATATATCACTTAACAGTAACAATACGGATGCGGGAAGAGGCAGGAGCGCAGCTGAACCCGGGCTGCGGGATTTGGCGCCCGGTGCCAGGGCACCGCGCTCCCGTGGCGCTCGTGAGCCCTCGCGGTGGCTTCGGTCCGAGTAGCGAATCCTTCCCGTCGCGTCCAGCTGCAAACAGCCCAGCAGTAATACTGAGGTCTACATCTGGAGGCTCTTCCTGTGTTTTGAGTAGCTGCATGCTGTAATTCCTGTTGTGCTTCACTTGTTGGTCACCGGGGGCTTCAGGCTGTGTTGCAGCCGAGGTGTTACACCAGGCTAAACTCTGTAAAATGAGAGCATTTGTTCTGCTTTTTCACTATCATCAATCTTTCACATCAGACACCTGACATATCGGCAGCTTTCCCAGGGCTCCTGCTTAAAATTCCCTTTGCTTTGGGAGAGGCCGAGCGCTGCCGCCTCCACGGCTGCTTCCTGGCACCTCCTCATGCCTCTTCGCGTCTCCAGCGAGAAAGGCAGCCAGCTCCTAACCCCTTTTTTGTTACTCGTAGAGCCATTTTTTGTTACTCTTAAAGCTATTTTTATGTTGCTAAATGGATCGTGCCAGTAGAGCATCTGAATATCCTCAGTGGGTGTGTGGATTCACAGATGCAAAATACAACAGAAAGCCTCCAGAGGTATCCAAGCTTGCAAGTCCCAGGAAAAAAACTTAAAGACTTCAGCAGAGAAGTACTACAAGCATAGTAAAAATCTTTAAGCTATATCAAGGGAAATATTGTTTAGTTACAGCTCCCGCTTTTAGATGGATGCTATTAAATGCAGATTAAAATATTGTTGTTGATAACCCATATTCTAGAGCACTCAAGTAGGAAACTGATCGTCCTCTTCCATAAGAGAGGTGCCATGCTTTGAGATGCCAGCCTCTATAAAGTGTGGGAAGGCCACGTTCCCAAAGAAAAGCCCTTAAGTTGGGACCAGATCAAAATCATTAATCTCATTATTAAGAGTTGGAATAATATATATATTTGTTGTATCTCCATTTACAGAATCCATATGGAGATGAGTTCTGAATAGCTGAAACTAAATCAGAAATGCAGAAGTGCCTATGATAGCCTCAAAATTCCTATGAAGTAAAATTGTGTGAGGTTTATCCTCGGATTTTTGTGGGAGTATTGATTTTTTAAACTCTGGCAATGTTACGACAGTTTTAGTTTGGAAATACAGTCAGTGACAATGAAATGACTTTAATTTGGTTGGATTTAATTGTGGGAGGAAATGTTTAGGATGTGTGCCTGTATCTTTCTAGGAAAAAAACCCTAATTTTGGAGATCTTTCTGAGCAGGTTTAAAAGCAAAAAATGGAAATATTTTATAACTGGTTTTGATAACTGCATATCAGTAGTGAAAATAAAGCTGCCCTGGGTGAAATGTGTGTCTAATTCATGTCCATTTTCATCAAACTGCAAAGTTACATGTTCAAACTATGCATAGGGAAATGCCAGTACAAAAGATAAGAATTGCTTTTTTGGGGCCAGGAATACCGCGTTTTTTACTACTTCATAGCAGCGTTTCTCATGCAGAAATTCTTGTGTGTTTGTTGCAGTTGGTACCCCTTATTACATGTCTCCGGAGAGAATACACGAAAACGGTTACAACTTCAAGTCTGACATCTGGTCCCTGGGCTGCCTGCTGTACGAGGTAACGCGCCGGAGCGCCGGGCGCGCGGCCCGCTCCGGCCCCTCTCTGCGTTCCGCTGCTTTGTGCAAAAGCTGCTGTTGAGCCCTTTATGTATTTTAAAAATATATTTAGCAATGAGAAAGGTCTTAAGGAATTTCAGCATATAAAATGCTTGGGAGTTACTAGATGCTTGCCTTTTACTAGGATTATTACAAAAAAAATTACAGGACTTTGCTGAGGTTGTGCATAACTGGAGGATTAATAAGTCAATCATGATGGGCACATGGAAAAATTATTTGAGGTATTTTAAAGGGCCTATGTTTTTTATATGATTTCGGTAATACATGAGTTGAGGAGAGTTAGAACTGGCTTGAGCTTCCAACTAATGCTCGCTTAAACTGTGATATACTCTAATATAAGCCTAGTTATCTAGAACTGAAATAAACAATAAATTGGGCTGCTCTGTGCTTTTTACTACCGTCTTGGATTAACTTTCAAAAATAACAGCTTTGTTGCAGAGGCATGAGTATTTTTCTCCTTCCTCTTCCCCTACTAGTTAACTAAAATAGTTTTAAGTTCTGTGTTGGGCAGTCTTAGGGTGCACGTACCCGAGTGTAAAGGACCTTCTGTCCTGAAGGGGGAAAATGATGTAGGGCCAGTTCAAAGGGACTCGTAGTGAAGGTGTGCAGGATAGGAGACCACTGCATCTCCCAAGTCCATGCCATGTGTGAAGGAAACACTGAGCAGTGGTGGGGAAGGCTGCTGGAAGCCGTTTCTTTGCCCTGTAGTGCTGGCAGTGAGATCTTCCCAGTCATCTCCCAGGTAAAAGCTGATATATCCAATGTGCCACCTGCCTAGGTGGAAAAAACAGCCACCTGCCTCAGTGGAACTTGAGCATCTGGGCAACGTTGTCCACTACAAGTTGGTGGCCCTAAATACGGAAGAGGCCAGTAGCTCTATTGCCATTCCGAGGAGTTTGCTGGCCTGTGTCCTGCCTCTTCTCACTCTTTGGGATAATCCATAGGAATTAAGAGTGATACCTGGGTAGCAAGTATTTACAAGTTTAAATCCTCTAGTGAGACCTAATTTTGGGATTCCTTAATACCAACCATGGAAATTGCCATCAATTTCCATGTCCTACTGTATGTGCTTGTGCAAGGAGAAGCCTGGAGACAGCAATTTCACCAGTGTATGAGGGTATTTCAATAGCCTCCCCCTACACCCCTGCTCATTTTCTTGTGTATTGTTTTTATCACAAAAACAATCAAAAACCTTAAATAACTAATTAATATATAAAATCAAGACCGTGTTTTAAGGTTAACACTTCTTCAGTGTTATGGATTCAGATTGCCAAGTGGATCAATATATTTTTCTTCTAATTTTTTTTAGCTTGCTACTTTGCTGCTGCATGCATTACATTAAAACTTTATCTGATTTTTTTTGAACAGTGTGCAAAAATTTAAGCAGCTAAATATCTTTATTCCAGTGATCATAACAGCATCACTAGATACTTTTTCTTTAATGCATTTTAGCAGGATGCTATTGAGGTTGACTTTTTTTTTTCACCTGTACTTGTTGTATGAATAGAACAGTTTTTCTGTGTAGTTAATTTGCTAAATTACCAGCCCTTTAATTTTGAAATTTTACATTTAATTAAAAAAAAGCATAGAAATAAATATACACTTAACATTTTTCTTATTTAAAAAAAAAATCGGAGAACTTGCTTAAGGTTGTGCAAGCCATGCCTGGACATTGGTGTGGTTGTTATCGGTGCTCTTTTGTGCTGGGTGTCTTTCTGTGATACGTGTTATATGCATTACCTGCATTTTAACACATTTTATTGTATTGATTTCATGCTAATGTGTGCTCTGGATTCTCTCCAACTTAATTGGGGAAAAGCTGTGGCATGTTTATCACTTTTCAATGCACGCTTAATTGCCATTAAGCTCTTCTCAGTTATGTTTTAATTAAAGTTTAAACTAATTAGCTATAGCTTATGTTTATTTAAAAATATTATTTCTAACCTATTCTACAGATTATTGTTCAGTGCTTACTGACATGGTCACTGGTATTTTTTTAAAAAACGTATTTTAAAGTCCGCTTTCCAGAGCCTCAGATATTTCCGCAACCTGTAATTAAAAAAAAAAACAGTACTGCGGGAGTTTTTAATTGATATGCAACAAAGTAGACTTTGCTAATTAAAACCAAGATGCTGTGCTTTTGCTACACGGACCTTTACAAGGAAACGTAGGTTTTACACATTTCCTTTTATTGTTCAGCGTAGCAATTGCATCCTTACAGGGTTGTAGGTTGGTGGCTTACAGTTCAAAAAAAAAAAAAAAAAGAGGAGAAGAAGAAGAGGAGGGAGCTGGAGCTGCCACCAGCCCCGCAGACAGACAGTGGGCTCCCGTCCCGCAGACACCCCCGGAATACTAATCAGCAAAGTCAGACCCTGGAGGTCAGGGAGCAAGTCAATCATTCCAGCGATCGTCTCAGTGTGGAGGATCAAATTAGCCTGAAAAATTCAGCTGCTGGGAGGAGAGGGCGAGCAGCTGTCAGGGGCAGCAGCGAGATGCACTAATGAACCAGATGAATAGTGCAAAAGCTTGAAAATAAAAACAGGACAGTTGACATTTTTCATCTGTCAAAGCAGGAGATGCATGAAAATATAGTATTCCTGTTTTAACTCCTTAGGGGACATTCGGAATTTCTTTTAACACTCTGCAGCATTCAAACAAAAGTGCTTTTTAATGAACACCTAGAGTGTGAAATGAGTATCTGTGCATTTATTTGAATTTTTGCAAGCGTACAGACTCTGTAGCTGATTTTGATTTTATTTTTATTCTATTTTTTTGGTCATTAGCCTGCATTTTTTAGCATTCTTTTCAAGGTAGAGCCAGTGGCACGTACATCAAAAAAACGAACATTATTTTGTTAGCACGGTTCTAGGATTTGTGGGGCCAGTGGAGGACAGAATTCAGTAGTATTAATTTGGGAGCTTTAAATTCATTCTTATTTGAAGTTAATACAAAAATTAGTGCTGAACCATTTGAAAGCATTTTATTGGGTATAAAGTAAATAGACGTTAGAATTTTTTTCTCCCCCCCTTTTTTTTTCCCCGTATCATGTCAGTGCTTGGCCACGAAGGAGTTAAAGGCATATCTGGAGGACCACAAGACAGATGAGAGCCATTTTCAGCTTGTCCTGTCCCTGTTGAAGCTCACTGAGTAGCACAGCATGGACCAGCGTGTTTCACACACGCTCTGCCTGTCTGGGGAATGTACACATTGTCCTTCCAAAATCAAACTTATTAGCACATGTAGAAAAGGGTGACTGACTTTGGGGCAGCTCCGCGCTCAAAGCAGCAGTCGTGCTGCTGCGGTTCAAAGCCTCAGAAAGCCTTTGAGCAGAATGGAGAGATTTTGAAATGAATTTTTAGATTTGTAATCCCGCTAACTATAGCATTTGTCTCTACCAGAAATGTCAAGTTGCAACGTTGTCTAGAAATAAATACTATTTTTAGGTTGATCGTTTATTTAATGTTCTCCACCAGATAATTTTTAATACTCATAACTATAATACCCAACTGTATCAGCTGAATTTTGCACTTCTAATGAAGTTTCAGGATGCAACCTCATTTTTTGTTGAAGCATTTTGGAGTAGCATACTGAATCATGAGTATTTTTTGGAAGTATTGATGAACTTGTGTTCCTCACAGCTTTCCTTATTTAAAACAACAACAAAAAAAGGCAATAACAGAATAGCAGAAGTAGGCTGCAAAGTTGCTTTTATCCAGCATTTTCACTATAGGCTATTGCTTTAGATGAACTAATTTTTTTCAGGTAAATGATATACTTTTCATTTTTTCCAAGGGGTATATAGAGAAGTTTTGTGGGTGTGTTTTTATTTTCCTTAGTGGTGCAACCCCCATCCTCACAGCAACAGCTGAAACTATTAATAGAGTACGAGGGAAAACCAGGTGAAATGGTGTCCTGGTGTACAACTGAAATGCTGTGACGTGAGGATGCTGGCAGTACTGCTGTGCCCCTGCAAACTGCTTATATTAATTGCTTCAGACCTAGTGTTTTAGCCCTTTGACCAAACTGAACAGAAGTCATTAAAAGTCCCTTTGACTTACTAGTACACTAGATTTTGTGACAGAACAGGTCTGTTTAAAAGCACAAAGTAAAAGTGTGTTTTCTTTCAAACAGATGGCTGCGCTGCAGAGTCCCTTCTATGGCGATAAAATGAACCTGTACTCCCTGTGCAAGAAGATTGAGCAGTGCGACTACCCGCCCCTGCCCTCGGATCACTACTCAGAGGAAGTAAGGAACGCTGTGCTCACAGGCCAGCATCTTTCTGGGGATAGGCTGGGGCTTTTTCAGGCAAACGAACCAGGGTGATTTCATGCTATTTGAAGATTATCCCCCTAAGCGTTTGCCTGACCTTGCTCCAATGCTTATCTCCAAAAGGCGCTCTCATACAATGTTTTTATCTTTATTTTTTTACTACCACTTGTAGCCTCACACCATTAGCTGCCCAATTTCCTTGCTCTTCCTTGCGAGCCTCGCAAAACGCAGCGTTGCTCCCAGGATGCCCAACGACACGCGTTGCGGGTCGCGGTGGCACGGGGGCTTACGGCCACGGTATGGCTTTCTAACAGCACCACGACGCAGGCTTATGCCCACGATAAACCAGCGCGCCAGCCTCGCTTCTCCAGAGACTGCCATTAAAGTAGAGCTAATGTCGCTCAATAGTAAAAATGAATTGTTAATCCCCATTTGTCCGCATTACGAAGCTGCGATGTGCTGCTCCGTGTGACTGAACAACAGTAGTGATTTCGCAGAAAAGTGGTTTGTGACCATGTTAATCGGAAATTTCAGAGAAATACAGAAAAACATAATACGGATGAATTTGAGCAGTATACTGTGTGTGTGTGTGTAGCCCAACAGCATTTGTTTTAAGCTGGTGCATAATATCTCTTTGCCGTTAAAATGGGGACTGTGTGCGTGTGGGGAAGGGATTACTTTTTTTTTTTTTTTTTTTTTTTTTTTTAACTATAAAGTGAAAGGAAACAAGATAGGAGAAACTAAATATTTTTCTTACCCAATATGACAGGGTAAGGAAATATAAATGCTTGCTGCTTCATGTTCCGAAATGCCAGTTTTGAAATACTTTCCCACTTAGAACAGGGCAAACCGATAGGAGCTGTAAAGCAAATAAGAGGCACTAGTAACCATTTCTAATTGAATTTGGTCTGCAAGAATTAAAGATCAATTTGAAAACATAATAATCGTGATCACTGAAATAATGAAGGCAAGGTGTTGTGCGATTTTTTTTTTTTTTTTTTTTTTTTTTTTTCTCCTAGGATAGGAGGTTGCAATTTCGAATCTTTTTACATTCGAGGGCAGTAATTGGGCTGTTAATAAAACATAACTGCCCTGTGTTTTGTTGTGTTTATGGCGCCAGTTTTTCCCCCTTTATGAAGCCCAAAAGCTGGGCTCGGAAAGGTAATGGGGCGGCTTTGCAGAAGGCGCGATGCTGAGGTGCGAGTAGTTTGTGCCGCGCGGCCCGTGGCGGCTTTGGCGGTTCGTGGTCTCGGCCGTTCCTCGCGGTTCCTCGCGTCAGGCGGCGGCGGCGGTGCTCCCCATTTGCATTCCACATGGCGGCTGCCGAGGCCGCTCCGGGCGGTTGCCATGGCGACGCGGCCTGCGCTCCGCCGGGTGCCCGCGGGGATGCGCCGGGTCCCCTCGGCCCCGTCGCGGTCCGGGAATTGGGTGGGAAGAGGGACGGGGCCGCTGCACCTCCGGTTGGCACAAATCCGCCCTTTCCGAAACAACCGTGTGGGGTTTTGCAACGTAACGAGAGCTGTAATACAACTTACAACTGCGGATGGAGTCTCTTAACAGGAGTAATCCAATGGGTTTTCTGCAGGGTTAATAGACGTTCATTAGTAACTTATTTTCTTCTGAAACACATTTATATTGCCCAAATACACAAGAAATATAGATGTTTTCACTAATTATTTCATCAAAACATTCCTTTTCACTTGTACAAAAAGTGCTGTGCTCAATTTAAAAAGAAAGACCCAGAGAAGCATTATTTGTCATGACAATAACATCCGAAACATTTCATTTCTATATATGTGCACCATATATATGTATCCCATGTAAGGTTTATATATGAAACCTTAAAGCAGGATGGAAGCACGCTCAGTGAGCAGTAAAGTTCAGGGATCCCCAAACAGTAAAACCCACCTTATATTCTGTAGCAATGAATTTGCTGAAAGAATAACCTCACTGAGGATCTGTGTCTTCAGATAAGTGCTTTGATTGCAAAATAGAAGACATGTGTTTTGGGTAAACTCTCTGTATGAATTGGCATTTAAAGATGTATCGTTTTGGAAGTCCCTCAAGACTAACTTTTTATTAATACTTCATGTTTGTGGTGTTCCACATCAACGTGATGGACAGATGTGGCTTAAGACACGCAGAGGGATACCTTTTTTTATTATTATTTTAATACATGCCTTTAATCTGAAATTCTAATTCTGAGAGGTGCTGCCCGTTGCAGTTGCAAGCGGACCTGCTTGAGCAGCACAGTGCCAAGCCGAGGTTTTCCAGGCACTTGACCACTGTGGGGATCTCCATTTCCAAACATGCCTTAGGAAGCCCTGGTGCTCGGACTGAGTGCTTGGCACTTGCTGAAAACCATTCTCATTTAGGACATTTGCCAGCCCTGCCCCAGGCCTTGGGCATTGCTCGCGTTGGCCGCATCAGCAGCACGTGGCTCGTGTCCTGCTGCTTCCATGTCAGGCTGAACTGCAGCCCGAGGACACTGCATGTGCCAAGTGTCCGGCTGCTTCCCGTGATCATGGAAAATTCCCCTGATCATCGAAAGTTTTATAAAGATTAGAGAGGTTGACAAAGACTTCAGATTTATTTAAATTGATATTTCTGGAGGGTATGTGAAGAAATAGGACTAGCGTTAGCATCCAGGATGGTCCCAGTCTCGGTCCAGGAAGATTTCTGTGTTCCTGTGTTAACAGTTATTTTCCTCCTGCATAGAAAAATTACTTGATTTGATCCCAAAGGTTTGCTGTTCAATAACAAGGCTCCAAAGAGCTCCAGGATTTTGAAGTTACTCAGGCATCTGCCCCCTCGTTGCCCTCTGTTTCAGGCATAATCAGCTGTGCTTTCTTGCCCTACAGCAGAAATTCTGGGGATTGGGAGGGGGAGGCAGATTTAGCAGCATCTCCGGTGACCAGCATTTAGATGTTGTTGGCCAAAAGAGGTCTGTGGCCATATTGCTTATTTAATTAAAATATTAGTGCAGGTTCATGAGCAACTGAGCTCACCTCTTGCATTATGTTAAGAGTTTAAGTGCATCAAATGGGTGATTGTCCCTCACTGTTAACGTGTTCTTGTAAATCCTTTCTTCCCTCCAAACAATACCAGCTTGTTAGAGTAAAAACAAAACACACAAACAAACATAAAACACAAAAACCTGCAAAATGCTATTGGTCATAATGCCATGTAGCTTATTTTTCTACCCTAAATATAATAGTAAGAATTACTATGGGCTAAATCCCTATATGCACTTTTGAATATTGGTGCTGTTTTTTCTAAAGCGCCTTCCTAAGAAGTTAGTCTCTATTGCTATTTCTAAAGCTTTGAATATGCTGTAACATTAATAACAAAAGCAGCTCTGGAGAAGACATCGTTTAATGACATTAAACAGTTTGAGTCTGAAAATGACTTTTGGATGGAAAAGTTCAGCTTGGAAAAACAAAACCAGTTAACCACAAGCCAGCACTGGAAAGCCATAAGTACCTATTGGTGGCAAACAAGGTCTCTTGGGCTTTTCACAGATAAATCTCCTGATGATCTAATTTTATTGCACTACCTACAGTTAAGCTATTGACATGCAGCTAATATATATGTTTTTTTTAAAAAAAAAAAAACAACACACACACACACAACAAGAAAACAAACAATTCCTCCCCTCCAGCCCCCAAAACAAACTCTTTGCTAAAAAGAACGAGTGTTGTAGGGATGTAATTTTTGTATTGTATATATGAAATATCTGCACGTTGTATACCATTCAGAAGGTTTGTGTGAGGGCCAGTGCTCAAGGCTTTAGACAGTGGTGTGTAATCTTTCCTTCTTAATTCTTGAATTTTATATTCCAGCACATTTAAATTCTTCTGGAAAAAAATAAGGGGGTGTAGTTATAACTTTAAAAGCATATTAGTCTTTCAATAGAAAGCAGGAAGTGAACTCTGATGGCAAATTTGAACATGCAGTCTGTTGCCTTTGAATAACCGTGGTGATGAGATTGCACTTTTATTTGCAGTAAGTACAGCTTTTTTCAATACCCCTACCTGAGAGTGCTAGGAGGGAGGCTGAACCAGATTTGACACCTTGCCAGGAAAGGCTAGATTGCACGTTTCTCTTTTTTCCTTTTTTTTTTTTTTTTTTTTTTTTTTTTACTTTTAGAAATTTTTGGAGT